GGGAACTGCATCATTGGTTCCCGGTTTGAGAGCATCCTCTCATCTGTGCTTATCTCACCGCCTTTCCTATCTCAAAACCACGCAAAAGGGCTTCTTCTTCACACTCAGCACGGTTAGTCCACAGGTGTAAAATCCAAAGGTCATCTGCGTTCCAGTATGCACAGACAAGAAGGGGTTTTTGTTCCAACCTTTTGTCTGGCAGAATAATCCTAATTAGTCGTTTAGCCGACACACAACATAGCCTACAGAGGCTATGTTACAGATAATCACGCACTAAAACCTGACCAATCAGCTGGAGCCTAACCTTCAGTATAGGTCCAGAAGGGGTGGGTGATACCGGGAATTATGTTAAGTTAATAAAGGGCCAGCGTCGCAAGAGGTTCTGACTGACCAGCAGAGAAGCTGAACTCTATGAGGATATAAGAGTCATTTCTTGAACATATAAAAGAAAAACAGCACAGATCGATACGGATCCATACTCCCACCCCGAATGTCCAGAGTTTGTATAAGATAATAACGTTCTTGGGTCTGATCTACATGAACACATTTGAATATTTGAACAAAAAAATGAAATTTAAGTTTATTAAACTCCCAATTTTATAGCTGAACAACTGTGCTAAACTTTAAGATAGTCCCTGTTAGCTGAGGATGAATTTGTACATCAATAACAATGTTGCAATATTGTTTTTCAAACATTAAAAAAAGGTTTAAAAAAAGGTTATACTTTCTCATCAAATCCTCCAACCAATGCGAAAATCAGGCCTGCAAAAAGATATGAAACCACAAAATGGGAAAAAACGCAATAATGTAGCAAAATAATTCAGACACAGACTTATTTTCCACAAAGACTATGAATTTGATTCAGAAAGCTTAAACATGTTTAACCTTCTAGAACCAGCTCCATCTTTAAGATTGATTTCCAGGTCTCATTGATCTTTGGGACCTTGGTGTTTGTGGTATTTTTGTACCTTTAAATAGAGTCTGAGGTATAACCTGTACTTTGGGACTCCCTCTGAGAGAGGGTACTAGGCCATGTTATGTCAAAAACCTTTATCTAAGACCCCTCATGATTTATGACCTTTACCTAACCATTTAAGAGTTCATTATGGAGTCTTTCTGTGTCATTTTAGGGTGATTTTGTATCAATTTATAGTTAATTTGAGCTATTTTTACAGTCTTTTAGAAAGGGTATTAGATTAATGGTTTTGTTCATGGCATTGGTAGGTGACTAGAGGTCAACATGTTATTTTCCATTTAGACTTAATGGTTTTATTAGGGTAATTGAGTTTAACTTAGGCTCTCATGTCTGGACATATCAGGGGATAGTAAGAATTTGTTTCGTGGGGTTGGAAAAAGAAGGGGGAAATTAGTGCTTGCTGGCCATGTTGGTGTTGTCAGGTCTGTTCTTCTTGGGGGCCCTCTCCCCCCACCCTGTGGTGGTGTTCAGCTCATGGTTCATTTCAGGAAATCTCTGTTTTTGGTGGGTTTTTTAGCAAAATGCGTAAAATTTGAAGTATCGTAGGTGCTGTTTAAGAAAGTGGATCATTGGATAATACAGCTTATCCAATGAGAGGAGTTTAAGTGGTGATTTTGCTTTTATTTTCAATAAATTGATGATTTATATAATATTATAACTATTTTATATTTGACTATTTTGGAATGAAATCTATTCAAATTCAGTAGAATGTGGCTGAAACTTGGCTTTAATTTGCAGCTTTAAAATCAAAATGTTATTTGTGATTTGTTGGTATACAAAGATTCATTCATTCTTATTTTTTAAAAAGCCTGTCGGAGAACCTATCCTATGTATCCGTTTATTCTAAGATATATTCTCGCGAACCACAAGAAGAGTTTGATTCATCTGAATATTTTGAGGAATCTTTCAAGGGGCCAGAATCGGAATCATCATACACAACCTGTGTAAGTGGCTCTGAACACGACCTGTCGGAAAAGCAATCCTATGTTTCTGTTTATTCTAAGCTATATTCTGGCGAACCACAGGAAGAGTTTGATCGTGTGACGCCAGAATTGGAAAGCGACATTATTACAGAGAACAACAAGACAGCTGCTGCTTGTGGTTATAGCCACCACCTTGTTCCTGCATACATGGCATGAAAAACACCAATAAATGACCATATTATCCACATGTGGCATGCCCTCAGAGAGGATGGACCCTCCAATGCTGAGCTGTCCACCATCCAGCAATTTAAAGGGGGGGAAATCCCAACCAGAGAAGAACCAGCGGTCACACAGGACGCGGAGGATGCTAATGAGGAACAGAGTGGAGATGAAAAAGAAGAGAAAATTTTGCCCGGGATCGAAATAAAACCAATCCATCAAAATTTAGAGGAACTGGATGAGCAGAAACCAGAAGAATCCAGGAGAAAAGCGAAACAACTCCTAAAACCAGAAACAAACAACTCCACAGTTAGTGTTCACTGGGTGGGGTTTTGTTTCTAGATACTTCACCGAACATCATGCTAGTCAAACTTTACATCTTAAAATACATCTGACCGTAAAGAGTTACTGTACTTAATAAAACAAAACAAAAATCAGGGTCTCCTTAAGCTTGAACCACAGACCAGAGACACAGACAGCAGCTTTTATTTAGTAATTCAGAAAAAAAAAACTTTGTCATAAATTAGAAAAAATTGACTTAATTAAAGAAAAATGGCTAATAGACAGCATTTATAGAAACTACAACTGTCTTGAACAATACGAGTATTCAATTTTGAATGAAATGATCTAAACCAGAGCGGACATCTGAAGAACTGGAAATGATTAAAGAAGACTCGCTCTGTCCAAAAAGCAGCGGTGTAAAAACACAAAAAAACACCCAGTGATTTATCTCCTGTGATATTTCCACTGCTTTTACAACTGGACTGAATTCATTGTTCTTCGTTGTGGGGAGTTTTGATCAGGTTTCCAAGTGTTAAATAAAGCTTTACTTATTCCCCGAATCAAATATCTTTGACATCACCTTGATAGTCGTAAATTAGGCCGGCAAGCTATGCTGAGACATCATTTTGCCTTCGCTGTTGGCTCTAGCTCAAGATTTCTGAAGCACTGCATACTTGGCATCATGTAAAGTGGCCAGGAGCCAAATCAGCCCTTGAACTTGTTTTTATTAAGGTTAATGCATCTACTGACTCAACTTTGCACACTTTTGATACCTGATTACCATCTTCTGGCCAAAATGAGCCACTGCTTCGACAAAAAGAGAACACACCAGCTGCACGCACCAATAAAAACTTGAACCTTGCTGTTGATATTCACTGAAAATCATTAATTAATGTTTATAGTCTCTTCAAAGATGCTTCAGAACAAGCGATATCTGAATCAAAGGCAGCTCAGCTGATGTTAAGCTGTTCTAGTGGGAGCCTTTGAATGTCATAGCATAGTGGTGTGTTACAGTCAGATACACACCAAACTCTGCTTTTATTCCTCCATCAAAGGCTACACGAGGGAGACTGAGCGGCACCACAAGGAGCCGTCTCGCCCCCCTGCAGAAAGTCTGACACAGAGGAACACTTGTGTCTACAGACAGGCCTCCAAGAAAAAAATAACTCCCTTTCAAGCAATTGCACACATAACAAGTGAATCAACAGACAAGCACTGACGATGATGCTAAATTAGTTTTGCATCAACGCAGCTCCATCTTTCAAACAAGAAGACAGCTAATCTTTTTTGAGAACACATGACAAAAACACATTGCAGACAGAAATGCCAACATTTACTCGTTTCAAAGCGCATCTTATCTTGAATCAAGCCCCTTTGTGTCCCTTCTGACTGTTGCATGCATTAATTCAACCCTGTTAAACTGATTGCATCCCTGATTCGCTGCTAACACGTTTGATTTCCTATTTAGAGCAGGGCTGGGATTTTTTTTCAAAACACTCCATGGTTTGAACAAAGATACTGGCTCATAAGACCTATCAAATGTTTTTGAAGAACATGCGATGTTCCCACAATCAGATTGCAAAAAAAAAAAAAAGTATTTCCATGTGATTTGTGGCCCTTTAAAGGCTTTGTGGTTTTTAATGGTGGTACTTTACAGGATGCTGTGATGGGTCTTATCTAGCAAGGAGAGGCCCTTTACCAAGATATTAGGCCTGCATGTTACAGCCACCAAGAAAATATGTTTATTCATCTTCATCAGTCTTTGGTGTAAAAAGTTATGAGCATGGCATTTCTTAAATAATTTCAATTTTCCTTTGAAATTATTTATTTCCTTCTCTTCCATTTGGGAAACATATCGTAAAGCTATGATAGAACAGCCGAAACTGAGCCTCATTCTAAATATGACCTACTCTTTGGATCAGAGTGTCCAAACCTGGAGAAACACATACCGTACATAATGGACGCTCAGTCCAGACACACCAAAAAGGAGCCCTTTAATCTGCAAAACCTCATTGCGTTATTCTTTTGGCAGATTTTGAAGACTTTCAGTGTTCTGTTTGATCCAAAATATCCATGCTGGAAGGGTGTAAACTGACATCCAGCGCGTGCCGGACACCCAGGGTAAGAGAGAGGCGGCCCGGCTAAAAAAGCTGGCCGGTGCTGCGCCCTGCTGGTTTGGCTGTGTGGACATTCTGTGCTCCATCATGAGGGTGTCACTGAAACCTTAAGCCACATTTAGCCGAAAGACCCAGCATGAAGGTCAGAGAGACTGAATGGAAGAAGCTGCGCCATTCTCTGACCGTGCTATGTAAAGACTGAGGCAAATTATGAACCTGGCTGTGGCTGGTCTACTGCAGTAAGTCCACATAAAAATGTCTGAAAAAAACTCTGACCCCCATTAACATCAAATGGATATGAATCCAGATATTAGGTTATTATTTTACATGGCGCTCTGTATCAGTTACTGGTCGACGCTTTTTTTTTTTCTTCAGAAAGACAAAAGGTGTGAGAAGGGGGCGTGGCTACAGGGGTACCATTTTGACGACCACCGATATTTGGAAGCGGTCGTGACGTCATGACGCAAAACTCCATCAACAGCCCCCCCTCTCTGCCTCGCACGTTTTCACCTTCTGTTGACGGCTAACGGTGAGTAACAACTTCACGAGTAACAACTGGAGAAAAGCGGAGTTCCTCTGGAAGACCCATTTGGTCTTTTCCCTCTCCCTTCAACCTTCCTCTCGCGGCTTTTTCGGACGGTAAATCAGAATTCTTGAATGCATTGGTTTCCAGACACAAACAAACAAAGTAAGAGACGAAGAAAAGGGAAAAGAAAAAACACCTGCCGCTCTCCCCAGGTGGAGCCATGTCTGTTTTTCTGAGGAAAATCCGGCGCAGCGACCCGGCGGCCGCCGGCGTGCTGGAGAGTAAGTGGCAAACCGGTATAAATAAACTCCAGATACGGTTGTTGCACCGTGGAGCCGTCCTGCAGTGCCGACGAGCCATTCTTGTTCGACACACTGTTAAATCCACGTTTCACGCATTGATATTTCATAACAGGGGCAGACTTCCACACTGACTCAGAGATCCAGTCACTGACTCGAGAGGACCTCCACGAGCTGTTTCCAGGTCCCGAGAAACTCAAGCTTAGGAAGAACATCTATGAAATGATACACAAACAGGTGAGTTTGTCCTATATATAGTGCTGGTCAAAGGTCCTGGGACACCCAGCATTTCTTTAAACTGTGCTAAGATAACAGTAATTGAAATAATACTGAAAGAGGTTAAATATGTGTTTATACATTTATCCAAAGCGACTTACAAAGTAGAACATATATATATATATATGTGTACCTCCCTGACGGGGAATCGAACCCAAGTTTCACTTATCGTGTATTACTAATTCATAGCTCAGTGACTGAAATGGTTTAACAAGCTGAAAACAAAAAAAAGACTAAATAGAGTTGAAGACCTGGACTCATAATGAGAAAGAAAGACTACAGAACGACTTTATCAGAGACCCTCTTAAAAAATAACAAGAAAATCAGTTTTTTTTAAAGCCAAATAAGAAAACAGACTTTTTCCTATTACTGCTTGCTTTCAGTCCTACACAAACCTGGATGCATACACCCAAATATCATCAGGACTCATTTGTCTTTTTTTTTTTTACAGCAGCCTATTAATCTGCTTCTGAAAGAACTCCAAGGTTTCATCCCACATGATTCTCTCAGGGGTAATGCTTCTGTTTTGGACCGACGAGATTTTAAAATACATAAGGAGCTGGAAACAGAGCAATGTTTACATGCACCCTCACACCTGTTCTTCAGCTGCTCTGTCTCCAGACGGGGTCTTGGTGGACTACCTTCACCTCCTAAAGGACATGAAGTCTCAAGTACATCAAGTGCAGAGTTTCCTTGAGGCTCATATTGGATTACTGGAGGACGCCAGAGAGGCTCTGGCAGACCAGGAACCTGACAGAGGTAGTTTTTATGGTCATTGACAGATTTCATGTGGTGAATGGACCCAGTTCTCATCCATTTCTCACATCCAGCATAAACCTTTCAGACCCTTCCTTTCATACCTCAGCTTGTGTTTTGTCCTTGTTACGGAGTAAATTGTCAGAAGATTAAAATGTCTTCCCTACAAACAATTTACAAACAATTCTCCACAAAGTGCCTTCTGAGTTTTGATTGAGTCAAATCTAGAAATCTAATTTGCATAAGTATCCAGGCTTCCACTGAGTGCCTGCTTAAAGCACCCTTCAGTGTTGAAGAGAAATGGTTCATTTAAAAAGAAAAAAGTTAGTTTGAGTCTGTTCACTTAAAATATTTGTTCGCTGATCAGTGCAGAGTAAGTGTCAGCATCCTTTACCCACTTCACTGATCAAATCAGTAACTCCTGCAGACAACTACTTTTCTTAGAAAAGAATTAGCCTATTTCACGTGATTTATGAGATTCGGAAGAATTAAATGTTCAAGCTATTAAAGGTCGTGAGGTCCAGGTCCGGAGTTTTTCAGGACCAGTATGGTTTTAACCCAGTTTTTCTACTTTTTAAATGTACTTTTTCCAGTTGGTGCTGAGTAGGAACTAAAATTAAACTGTTAGGAGGTAGAATCGAGCCAATCCGCAGTAAGCAGGTATTGTAGCAAAAAAACTAAAGATCACATTATGTTTTTTTTTTCCACTTTGATGTTTCACAAATTGAAGCAAATGCAGTTTCCTTTAAAAATCTTACTGTCTGTATCTGAGGGCCTGAACTGCCTTAAAGATTTACCCTTTTTCGGAGGAAAAGGGTGTTTATTATCTAGAATAGTATATTACAGCTCCAACTGCTCATTGATTTTTTTTCTCAAGCTTCTTGTTTGAGAGCATTGACTTCATGATTTAATTATAGGTAAAAAGCAAAATCTCACCCAAGGTTGAATTTAAATTATTTATGCTTTTAATCCACAACGCTGTGTAGTTAAAGCTCTGTTGGGTAAAGATGAGGATGTTTTCAAGGTCCTCAAGTAGGATTCTTCTAAAAGACCATCTAAGACAAAGGGGAGAAAAAAGGCCAGAAACTGTGAGAATCTCATGAGGAGGAGATAGCTTCAGAGAAGAGATGGAGTGTATTAGCACAGTGGGGTGGATTTGGGACGTTAGGGCCTGATAATAGATCATTGAATAAACACTGAGTGGACCATTAAATGACATGGGATTGTAAATGTACAGGAAAAAACAAACTAAGAAGAAAAAGTAAGTCAAACTGTGGCAAACTGTGACACCCTGTTATTGCACCCGCAGATGTTTTGGCAGGCTCAAGCACCTCCACCCTCTGTGCTCCAGTGGAGCCCCATCACATCCCAGCTGATAACCATCCATATGCAGCACAAGGTAAAGCTGACTTTTGCAGTTTCTTTTAGAATGTTGTCCTACAAGATGTAAAATGACTCAGACGCGCACTGTTTTTTTTCCTCCCCTGTGGCCAGTGATGTACCAAATGGTTGTCAGTGGTAACACCTTTGATGCCCATCTTCAGTTGATGGCCAAAGTCCAGGCCCAGGTTCAGGACCGGGTTCAGCTCATCTCCTGCTGTCAGGATGGCCACATCATCATTGTCTTCTGCCGAATCGGCTCGCATGCCGGGGCAGAAATTGATGCAGCCATGACTAATTTAACAGGTATCTCCAAACCCCGTCGGTAACCCCAACTGATTTGCACTTCAGTTTGCATTCTGAGTTGTAAGTCTATGTGATTGAGATTCTAAAAAGATATCTCAGTGAGGGTACAATGAACATTAAGCGACCTTCTCTACGTTTATAGTGTGAAGAAATAGAAAACCGATCTTTGCTCGGCACACCGCCGGCCCTACAGCCTGTTTTGCTTAATGGCCGTATAACTTTGTTGCTTCCTCTAAGTGAGAGCAGTGTATGGCTGTTCACAGACAGGGCTTTATGACAGTGGTGCTCCTGACCATAACTGTAGGGGGAGCCGAAGCTCAAAATGTTTGCCAAATATTCTAGTGTTGCTTTAAATAGAGCAGCCAGTATCTGCAGACAAAGTAAGTCCTCTTCCTTAACCCTCTTTTCCCTCACAGCCGACCTTTTTACATTCCTGGCTGTCACCACAGCTCCCCTGAATGTGCCTGTGGGAGGACTGCTCTTCTGTTTTAGGCCACCAGATATCACTACTTCATGTTCAATCCGCTCCCTCCTGTGGTTTGCTCTCCACAGACGGAGTCCCCGTCATTCTGGTGCTGATGCACCACGCGCACAAGGCCGGGCACACGGCGGTGAGAGCCTGGACGCGTCATGTCAACGTTGTGTTGTACGCCAGCGTTTTCTACCACGAGACGGCCCGCGGGCTGCTGAGGTGTCGGGAGAATTCCGCCGCCATCTCTCAGATTATCCGCCAACTGCTGGAGTACGGCGTTGACAAAAGTAAATGGGATGTGGACGGTGACTGCGACGGCGGCGGCGAGGGTAACGGCGGGGGCAGCGAGTGCGGTCCCAGGCTGTTCAACAGCGATAGCAGCAGCAGCAGCAGCACCAGCAGCGAGAGTGAGAGCAAAAGCATCTGGGAGGGTGGGGATTAGAGGTGGTATAGCAATTATCAACTGAATTGAACCTTTTATCCAAATGAAGTTTGCCTGTTGCTGATGTAATGAATATTAACTTTTTAAAGAAGATATAAAGCTTTTTTTATCCATACTTGGTATACTCTAACTCTTTTTCACTTCCATTTTATTATTATTATTTATTCATGTATGTGTGATAACTTGTGTGATTGTGTTTGTTACCGGACACCTGAATTTCTCTTAAGGGTGGTTAATAAAGTTTTCATCTATCTATCTATCTATCTATCTATCTATCTATCTATCTATCTATCTATCTATCTATCTAT